GTCAACAAGCTCATTGCCTTTAATGGCACAGCGACCAGGAATCCATTGTAGAACCCCTGTTTTGTTTTTCTCTCTCAGCAGCTGATAGAGTTTTCTACATTCCTTTATCTCAGCTGTTTTGGGTGGCTCTCTGTTTCCAATTGAGCTTGTTGCTTTGGTGAATTTCGTATCCAGGCAAAATAATTGGCATATTGCTATCCTAATGGTCTCTAATGGATCCTAATGGATCTATTGTGTTCCGCTGCTGCGTAGAAAGAGAAGAGTTCAGAAAAGACACCTGCACCAATGTTTGCTTGGTTTTCTATGTATAACCCATCATTGAAGACTTGGAGCCATTGATCTCCAGGATAGTTGACATTGATTGTCTCAAGGGCCAGTGAGCGAATTTGTTCTGGAGGGATGTTTGATTTCCTGAAGAAGTCAAGCAGTTGGGTGCATCACACTACATCAGTGTCCGCTAATGGGTTCATGGGTAGAGAGAGGCTTTTTGGTTTGTCATCGATTTATAATTCTTTCTTCAGTTCTATGGCTTTCAGTATTAGACCAGATTGCATTTTCAGATGTCTTATTCTATTCTCATAGGTGCTGAAGAACTTATCCATGGGAATGCGCAGTAGCTTCTCATACAGGATTAAGGCCTTTTCTTTGATAAGGGAACATATTGTGATGCTTCCTGTAACTAGGAGCATTGCCCCAATGGGTGCTGATTTTATCCCTCCAGTAGTTAGTCCTAATGCTTCGTTGTGTGCCTTCTCGAGTGGTTTGAGTCAGCTCTGTGGGTGTAATGAGTGGCTCACAGCAATACAACATTATTGGCTGAATAAACATCTTGTAAGTGATGTTAAGAGTTGAGCGTGCACAGCCCCATACGCTACCAGCAAGACGCTTCAGTACATTCAGTCTATTAGAGACCCGTTCTGCTATTTTAGTAATGTGACTTTTCCACATTAGCTTTGTGTCAAACGTCATTCCGCGATATGTGAACTCATTGGTTTTTTCTATGGTTGTATCATTGTACCTTAGGAGCGGGTTTATGCTGTGACGGACCGTCCTTGTATCTTAGAAGCGGGTTTATGCTGTGACGGGCCAAAACCTTAGAAGCGGGTTTATGCTCTGATGGGCCAAAGAAGAAATGCAGTTTTCGCGGTGTTAATTACCATTCCATTGTTGTCAGGATTTAGATATTAAATGAATTCTGTTTTTGCTGTATTTTTTTGAAAAGAATTATCGAAAAAAAGTTTTTGGCTGTATTTCTTAAAGTCTCCACTAATTTATCGACATGAGATTGCAAAGTGTTATTCGGTTCTCTAAAGTTCTTCCATAGGAAGCGAACAGTATACAAGTATTTCGCATTAAAACCTTTATTTTAATTTTTATTAATTATTTCTTGAATTGGCAGTTTCTTCCAAAATTTAAGAGGAAATTTTGAGATTATCTGTATTTAAGAAATATATACTAGCTCAGATTATCAAAATTCTGTGAAGAATTTGGTAAATTTTTGAAGAGTTTCCTCTTCCCTATCACATATATGAATGGACGCAATTGCCCACAATGATTAATTTTAATTTGTTTGAAATTTCAGTTCATATCTTGATTTTATTTGCTTGAATATTTAACCTATAATTTATCCAACATTGTAATACTCTTAAAATTCCAATATTAGCAGAATCTATTAACTCTTAAGCAATTACCAGATCTAATCACTAAACACACTTCGTTCTCCTTTTTTCATCAGAAAGTGAGAAAAGTTTTGCTTCTGTGAGATTTCGCAAGAGATAAAATGTGCTTTAATTAGATCTGCTTAGAGAATTAGGCAAAATTCTTTTCGCTAAATTATTCTGGTCTTTTAATTAGGTCATTTCTCAACTAACTTTAATTTTCGATTCGATAAGCTAACAAATTACTGATTGTCTTCATTAATTCGTTTATTTTATCATAATTAATAATGTTTACTTCTAAAATTTAAACGAAGTTTGTTTCTTCTCACGTCCACAGAGTTCTTGCAGCTTTTCACGAGTGCTTATTTGCAAACAATTTTTACTTTCTATTGCCATTTTTTGCATATTCAATTTTATGTTGACCAATTGTTAAATAGTATTTTGGGAAAGTAGCGTATGTAGAATTAACCAATACTTCAATCAGAGCTTTTCGTACTAATGAAGATATGATATTTGATGAACATTTGGGAAAAATGATAAACATCATTTAGAATGTCATTTGATATATATAATGAAAAAAAGTATTTTGTGAAATTTGGTTTTTTTGTTAAACCGTATTTACCTTGTGACTCGCGCTTATTTGATCTGTATCGTCTTAAAGGAAAACTAATTTCCAACAGATCGGACATTTTAATATCTATTGAAGGGCTTTTATTTTTTTAAATAAGATTTTAGTTTGTTGCTTTGCACAAATTTTAATATTGAATTAAAATTAAAATCATAGAATTTTTTAGACTTCATTTATTTATTTCAAATAGCAAGCCTTTTGACAGTTACCATTAGCCCTTCAGGTGACTTCGGGCTTCACAAAGAGGAGGAGGAACATCAAAATGACAAAAAGTCAAGAGGGGGGACAGAAGAGTGATTCACAGTTGTGAAAGAGACAGGCAGACACAAAGGCAGAGAAATGGTAAGATGAGTGCTGTGACAGTGATCGAATATGGCATACAGTTGGGTCATGGTTGTTTGAAGTCAGAAATCAATTGCCGATTAATGGACTTTTTTTCCGTATGAGTATGCATTGCCCAGGGTACACCTCGTGGAAGTAAGTCTATCTCGCAACAAAAACGTTCAAAATAAATGCCTTCATGCAAAATAATAGGACATTTAAGGTTTGATGTTCTGAATCCAAATTAAAAATTTTTAACTTTATTTCAATTCACCAAATTGGTATATAAATGAAACTAGGGATCATTATTTTCCAGAATGCAGTTCATGTATGTTGCCAATTTTACTGTCAATTCTTTCTATTCATGCAATCAGTATTTTATGCTCCGCTTATGTTTTGATGTAAGCCCTGCCTTTAACCTAGGCTTAACTTAGCATAAAGCCTATTTGCGCTTGACTGATCAGAAATTATTCCACCAAGGATCTTAAATGTTGCTTAACACTTTTTTGCTTCATCAATGTCATCATCAATAATTGATGTGCAGAATCTGAAATTTCTAAAGCTCATTAAACATTTGTTTTATAGCCACTGAATTTCAATGATTTTCTGTAACATATAGCTTTGGTTTTGGAAGAAAAATATGTAATAAAAATATGGCATATTCCATTTGTCCTCACACATTTGATCCCATCATCCAATCGTCGTAAAACATAAATTTTCTAATAAAAAAATTAAATGGCTGCCATTGTAAAATATACACAATCTTAAGTAAACCGCGAATGACGTCATTTGAATGCTCATTAATGAATAAAAAATCATTGTAAGATTAAATTATTGATTAAATTGTTTGAAATTCCTTTTTTGTTATAATCAGCCTAGTTTTAGCAATTTTGGTTTTCCTGAGCATTATCTTTTCCAAATAAAGTTGTTTGTAGAATTTCGACAGTTTAAAAATATGTAGGCTTAGCCCTAGCGAAATACAAGATATTAGTATATATGTTTAACTTGTTTAGGCACCTTAAAATCTCAAAGCAATTAATGTGAATTTTAGTAAATTACGTATACTTGACTTTAGATTTCATTTTACTGTTCATCACTTAGCTTATATGTTGATCTTTCACTAATGCAAATGCACTAATGATTCGCAATTTCATATAGGAAATAATAAAGCTCGTGAACTTATTATTTTATTGAAGAAATAGAAGCGGATTCGATCTGTTACTGGTTTTGAGAATTTTTAAGTAGATTCATTGAAGCTTTTTAAAAATAAATTGTACTCTTTGCTCTGTATAATAAAGTTGACGCGCATTGAAATGTTAAGTTATCGATTCAAGAATGACATTTTTTTGTCGACCGAACTATTTTATAGAAATATTTAATGTGGACTTTATTTTTTATTAAATTCGCCTTTCTACTTTGAGAATATAAAATGTTCATAAATTAGCAAATTTATATTTAGCACTTTAAATTACTAATTGTGCTTGCTTAAATTTGTATGTTTGATTAATAGTCTGAATTTCATAGAGAAAAATTTCCAAAAATTTTGATTTACGATTTTAAAATTTACATTAAATTTAGACTTTGCGTGAATGATGGATACTTCTTCCAACACAGATCAAATTAATAATTTATAGAGCGAAAAATTATTTCCTAAATTAGTATATATATGTACTTATATATTTGGGTTATTAAAATTTATACATTGTTTCCTGTCTGACTCGGGCTGATTTTACTGCATTGTAGGAAAAAATCCATTTCAAAGATTGTTGATTTCTTTTATGAAGTTGTACATGCTTTATAAAACTTCTAAATGAATGGCACAGGATGCTATTCTACCTTTCAGACCTATTATTGGACTTTAATTTAACGTCAAGGAAAATGCGAAAATTACGGATCGCCGTCTAAATTATTAACCGGTTGACTTTTGCAGTTTGTTCAAACTTAAGAGCCAAATAGTGGAACATATCTATGACTTAAATTGATATTAATATATCCGTAACGCTATCAAAGCACATAGTTTTGAACGAAAATACTTCTTTTTGAACTGAATTCAAGTAACTTTAGTCGTCTAATAACAAATTAATGAGCTTTCTAATCATTTTAGGATTTCATTGGATTTCAATTTATAGCGATACATAATATTCATTTTATTTGCTGGAAATGCAAAACAATTTACAAACATCCTAAATCGGTTGATTGAATGTGTTGGTTAGGTAACTAGAATGAAATTTATAATTTCATTTCATTTAGAAAAATGCAGAATCCATTTTTATATGAGCTTGAAATTTATTAAAAAGATAAACTTGAAATTTT